ACATAAGATCAATAACAACTCTCTCTCTCTTTTCTCTCTAACTTACACGTTCGAGACTACCTCCCTCATTTATTACTTTCATACTTGTTCTTCACTTATTGCTTGATATTGGCCGTAAAGAGCCTTTTTTTAATCATATACTAATTGTTATTCCCTTCACGGTTACCCCCGATAGCTCGAGCTCGAGCCCAGGCATCAACCTCAAGGCCCCTCACCGGCCAGTTCGAGGATGAATAACTGATATCGATCATAATTCTATTTTAGCTCGCATTTCATCTCTTGTCTTCATACGCATAGCATCAACTGCTATAACAACTAGCGTAAAAATACATCACGCATGTTTAGAGTCCCATTTAAAAGTTTAATTGTTATTAAACATACACCAACACCTGGAACACCCACACCGTTTTCTCCGTGGTCCTCAAGATTGTTGTTTTCACATCCATTCACTGAGTTAGACATTTTGTCCTGAAATAGAAGATTTTGGACAAGAAAAATCATGAAAGATAACCTGCGTTATGTAGTAAAACCAACAAGAAAATAATCACTATTATTTTAAGCCCCACGATGGGCGCCAAACTATTTACCGTGAAAATGGTAATAATAATTTAATTTGATTATGGTACTCTAAAAATGCATGATCTATTTTTATGCTAGTTGGTAAGCAGTTGATGCTATGTATGTGAAACTTAGAAATGAAATAAGAGTTAAGGATAAGGCGATAACCAAACCGATAGGTTAACAATCGGAGCCTCGAGCTTGTCGATTCGGGGGCCTTAAGGTCGATTCCGGAGCTCGGCTGTGAGCTATCGAAGGTGGTCGAGGTATGACTAATAGTTATAATAAAATCAACGAAGGCTATTTATGGCTAATAGTAAGCAATAAATGATGAACAATAATAAAGATAACAAATGGAAGCAATAATATAAAGAGAATGTGTTAGGGAGCAGAGCAAAGTTTCTTGTATATTTTACGTGGAGCAACTGAAGCAACAAGGGTTTACAAAATGATAATGATCCCCTTTATATAGGAGGGGAGTCCTAACATAGTACAGAAATGCATTAATTACAAATATATGGGGATGGGATAGCTAGATGACGCCCTGATTCGGGTTTAGAGTAGTCCACTAGGCTCTGTCAGTCCTAGCCGTGTGGCTTGGGAACTCCTCATTTCTTACATTACCGTAATCCCCATTTATTTATAGGGCTGGATGGAGTGAGAATTGAGGCAAATGATTGACAATGGCACAAAAATCGAAGCGACAGGCATGCAGACGCTGCCTCGGGAAGATGCATAATGATGACGGGCATAGCTGTGACGTCACCCCATGGCAACCATACCAATCATGACTCCACCAGTTGTGTTGTTCTCTCGATCTTGGTTGACCCAACTTATTCAACAGCCAAATTCTTCCGAGACAAAGGCAAATCATGTTCACTTATCGAGGGCGCGCAGGGCCACGAGCTCAATAATAATGTAAATTTCTTATTATTTTAAAAAACATAAAGAATCCACACCCAAATTTACATAGAAAATTAAGTGTTTTGACCCTTGTCATCTGAAATCATTCATATAAATCGAACATAAGGAGTAGTATTTACTATAAACTCGTTGTATAGGTCCAAATTTGGCAACTCGGTGGTAACAGATAAGTAAGATAAAGGACGGGGTTGATAATATGCTAGATTTATGTAATTTGGCGACTGTTTATGCCCCAGCTTGATTATGTTTCACTGTTATAATATAGTTAAATGCTGATAAATTGGCTCTGATTGTGAATTTCACACGTTGCATGAGTGAGTAGCATGTATGAGGACTTAAAACTGTGGTTGGAGCTAAATTGAAGCACGAAAAGTCCCTAGGAGCTGAGTACGTGGGAAGACGAGAGAAAGAAGAGATGAAATGAAGACCTGGACTAGCACGGCCACTAGCGCGAGCGCGCTAGCTAAGAAAGTCGAGGCAGAATGATAGGCCATATGCGCGGTCATTAGCGCAACCGCGCTAGCCAAGTTCCGAAAAATTAAATTTCAGGGGTAAACTTGGAAGTTCGGGGGTAAATCCACCTAACCTATAGAAGGTCTAGCTCTCCCAAGGAATCATTAGGAAGGTTTTCATAGATTAGTTCAAGGCAAGGAGAGGCAAGAGGCAAGGAGGATAATTCATCATCGAGCTCTTCCTTTTGTTTTTACTATTTGTGATGAATTTGAATATTGTTATGATGAACACTAGTATGAGTAGCTAAATATTTAGTCTAAGGTTTTGATGGAACCTATTGAAGGATGAACTTCTTGTTATGTTAATATTGTTTGCCCAGTTTAATCTCTATTTGTTCAACTATATTCTTATTGTAGTTAATTGATAGGATCCTCAATTAGTTGTGCCTATTTAGTGTACATAACTCGGGAGAGAGTGCATATTTAGGTAATTGTTGAACAACACCACTTCCAAAGTATATGAGGGATCAATAATCGAGGGTTTAAAGGTGAGATTAGGGATAATGAAGCCTTGGGTGCAATCTAAGGTGAGCTGTAATAAACAAAGTCAACTAGCATAACTCTGGAGAGTACATCTAGTAAATTATCATGACTACTCGGGAGAGATTTACGGTAATAAGAGTGCTCATGATTAATAGAGACGATTAGGCAATTCTATGTGAAGCATAACCGGAAGGGATTCCATCAAAAGGGGAAATCATAACCTTAGAACTTTCTCTTAATTGTTTACAACTACATCATAGTTAGTTTTCAGTTGCTTATTTAGATTCATTCTTAGTTAGTAGAAACATCCTTAATTGTTATTTAGAACATTTGGGAAGTTGATTCCGTAGAATTTAGTAAGTTTAACGATGGTAATTGATAGGTTAATTCCTTGTGGATTCGACTCTGGGCTAAATACTCAGATTATATTTGCAACGTCCGCGTGTCCTTTTTATAAGGCATAGTTGGGCGTGATCAAATTTTGGCGCTGTTGCCGGGGAATTTATGGTGTTATCAATAACAATTGAAAGAAGTACAAAAATTCTTAGTGTAGTCAGTTTTCTCTATACCCAATCTATACATCGAAATTTTAACGTTTGTTGACTTGGGTGTACAGGTGCATGCCTAGAAACTCATCGAGAACTAGTGAAGTATTTAAAGCATTATCAGATCCCGAAAAAGTTTTCAAGGCCTTCAATCGGGCCAACCGGAAAAACAAACAACAACAAACAACTGAACAATTCAAACCAGACATGGGGGATCACATAGTAGACCTAGCTGTACCGATAGCGCCAGTGACACCTCTTGTGCCAAAGGCTGCGCTATATGACTGGGCACAACCCACAACAGAGAACTTGACCACAATAATTTTAGTCCCGCAAATACAGGCTGAATCGTTTCAAATCACAAACAACATGTTGCACTTGTTGCAAAACAAGGGACTATTTTTAGGGTCACAAATCGAAGATCCTCAACAGCACCTGAAAATCTTCCTGTCAATCTGCAAAACTCAGAGGAAGCCCAACGTAACTCAGGAGGCAATCAAGCTGTTATTGTTTCCATTCTCAGTGACAGGAGCTGCACAGACTTGGCTAAACTCACTTCCCAACAATTCCATAACAACTTGGGAGGAGTTAGTCAAGCAATGTGTAAACAACTTTCATCCACCGAACAAGACTGCCCAACAAATTGATGAAATCTTGAGTTTCAAACAGAGACCAATGGAGACACTGCAAGAAATATGGGAACGATTCAAAGGGATGTTGGTTATATGTCCGCACCACGGGATTTCCAGATCAGATGTTGGGGCAGCGGTTTTACATGGGTTTGGCAGATGGCGTGAAGGGTAATGTTGATGCTTCAGCTGGTGGAGAATTTTTGAGCAAAATATGGAGAGAAAGCCAGAGTTTGCTTGATAAGATGGCACAGAATTCGGGATGGACAACCAAGAATGCACCTATCACTCAAGTGGTTCACTCAGTGCCCTTAGATCCATCCAACACTCTTGCTAAAAATATGGCCACCTTAATGACACAGAAAAGTATACTCACCAAAAAGGTGGAAGAGTCGGGGTAGAAGCAGCAGGTACACATTGTTGATACTACCAATGGGGGCTTATGCACATCTTGCATTAATCAGCCAATTGGTAACCAGTGGAATGTAGAACATGATCATCATCACTACCTTGAGGACATGAATTATGTGTCTAATTATGGAGGCCAGAGACAGGGTGGTAAGAATTGGGGCTAGCAAAATCAGCAGTACAGGCCAGTCCAGCCACAGTTTAACAATGGAAATATGGGAGGTATGAGACCTCCTAATAATATGACACCTTATCCAAGGCCACATGTATATAATAATCAAAATCAACAGCAAGGGTATCATCCTCCTCAGCAGCAGTATGGTGGACGACAGGAAGATGGGTTTGCTAGACTTGAGGCAATGATGCGGCAGGTTATTGGGTCAAATGCAAAAATTAGTGAAAGAGTAGATACATATGATTCAACTATTAAGAATAATGAAATGCAGATGGGCCAGATTTTAATGTCTTTGAATAATCGTCCTCATGGGACATTACCTGTAGACACTCAAATAAATCCAAAAAATCAAGGTCCGAAGCAGCTGATGACAGTGAGTCTACGGAATGACAGAGATTTAGACGTGGAGCAAGAGAGAGCTCGAGAAAGCAGACAGGCTGAGACACTTGTACCAGTTCCCATTGAGCTAGATGATTCAATGAAATTGATAGAGGTGACAGTACAACCTACCCAGGAAGAACCTAACACCCAGAATGAAGCTGAGAGAGAAGCTGAAACAGCCCGGGAACCAATAGTTGAGGTGGTGTCTGACAAATAAAGTACCCAAATCATTGGGAAGAAGAAACATCCAACACCATTCCCACAGAGGCTGGCCAAGTACCAAAAAGAGGAACAATACAAGAAATTCTTGGAGATGTTGAAACAAATCCAGGTAAATATTCCATTGATTGATGCCTTGAACGAGATGCCTGGTTATGCAAAAATGATGAAGGACTTGATGTCCCGAAAATTCGATTTTCAAGATTTGGCCACAGTAATTCTTACTCAGACCTGCAGTGCGGTGGTGACTAGACCAATTGCTGAGAAGCTGTCTGACCCAGGGAGTTTCACAATTCCCTGCACCATTGGTAATTTTGCTTTTGCCAAGGCGCTTTGTGATCTAGGGGCCAACATAAATCTTATGCCCCTGGCGATTTATAAGAGGCTGGGGATTGGAAGAGCTAAACCCACTTCTATGTTGTTGCAGCTGGCGGACAGGACCATAAAAAGACCCTCTGGTATCTTGGATGATGTGTTGATTCAGGTAGGGAAATTTGTGTTCCCTGCAGATTTTGTGATCCTAGACTGCAAGGTGGATGAAGAAATTTCCATAATTTTGGGAAGGCCGTTCTTGGCCACTGGGAGAGCTCTCATTGATTGTGAGATTGGGGAGCTCAAGATGAGATTGAACGATGAAGAGATAATATTCAATGTGCAAAAATCTATGAGACGACCAAGTGAATTCGTCAATTGCTCTATTATTGTTGCCGTGGATGTAATCGTAGAAACTAATGATGAGATGCTGACTATTGAGGACCTCTTGCTGCGTGTCTGATGAATTTGTATGAGGTGAATGGAGAAGAACTGGCAGAATGGGTGTTGGCGTTAGAGGGCAGAGGGTTCTGGGATAGAACTCTTGAATTTGAGCCCTTGCACTTAGAAAATAGAGAAACTCCTCTGGCCAAGACATCTATTGAAGAACCACCAAAGCTGGAATTGAAGCCACTGCCCGCCCATCTCAGGTATGAGTTCCTTGGATCTAACTCCACATTACCTATTATTATCTCATCTAGTTTGTTAGATGTGCAGGCACAACAACTCTTGCAGGTACTCAAGGAGTGTAAGACTGCTATTGGATGGACCATGACAGACATTAAGGGGATCAACCCCGCCTATTGTATGCATAAAATTCTACTGGAAGAGGGACACAAACCTTCCAGGGAACACCAAAGAAGGCTGAACCCCAACATGAAGGAAGTGGTGAAGAAAAAAGTGATAAAGTGGTTAGATGCGGGAATCATTTTCCCAATCTCTAACAGCAGCTGGGTTAGCCCGGTGCAATGTGTGCCTAAGAAGGATGGCATGACGGTAATAAAAAACGATAACAATGAACTGATCTCAATACGAACCGTCACAGGCTGGAGAATCTGCATGGACTACAGAAAGTTAAATCTAGCCACCCGGAAAGACCACTTTCCACTTTCCTTCATTGATTAAATGCTAGACAAATTGGCAGGGAGGTCACACTTCTGTTTTCTGGATGGGTACCCAGGGTACAATCAAATCTCCATTGCACCAGAGGACAGAGAGAAGACCTCCTTCACTTGCCCATATGTCATTTATGCTTTTCGGAGGATGCCCTTTGGCCTATGCAATGCACCCGCCACATTCCAAAGGTGCATGATGACCATATTCACTGACATGGTAGAAGATATAATAGAGATATTCATGGATGATTTCTCAGTGGTTGGAAACTCATTCGAGGAGTGCCTTAGAAACTTGACTCGTGTGTTGAAATGGTGTATTAAGACTAACCTGGTTCTTAATTGGGAGAAGTGTCATTTCATAGTACAAGAGGGCATAGTCTTGGAAAACCGAGTATCAAGTAAAGGAATTGAGGTGGATCGCGCTAAAGTAGATGTGATAGCAAAACTGCCCCTCCAACTTCAGTCAATTTTGATACTGTAGAGAAATTTAATTAAAAATAAACATGAAGAAAAAGGTGGAGAAAAGGATTAAATGACCAACATAACCTTGCAATATCTTTTGAGACCCTTCCCTTAGCTCGAAACTGGTGTTACACAGACGAGCAAACAAACAATGGCTGCAATTGAAGTAGTGGCGTCCTCTATTTTCTCTTCTCCCCCTTCTTCTTCCTCTTCTTCTTATCTCAAATTCCCTTTGTTTCCCAATTCAGTTAGACTTGAAAACTCCACCCATTACCCAAATGTTTCTCTCAAATCCCTTCTCTGGCCCCTCCCTCTTCCTTCAAGAAACCAATGGTCCCACCAACTTCACTGCTCAACAGTTGAGGAAGTAGCAGTACAAGAAAAAGAAGAAAAAACAGAGAAAATCCAAAGAAGTAATCAAAGAAGAAAGCTTTTTGTACTAAACTTACCATGGTCTTTGACTGTTCCTGATATCAAGACTCTCTTTGCTGAATCTGGAATTGTTGAGGATGTTGAGGTAACAAAAAAAGAAACAAATTTGTGTATGTTTATCTGGTTTCTGAATAAAAGGTGCTAACTTTTTTACCCGTTGGGTGTTGAATTAGTAGATTATAAAGACCAAAGATGGGAAGAATAGAGGCTTTGCCTTTGTGACTATGTCTTCTGGGGAAGAAGCTCAGGCTGCAATTGACAAATTGGATTCTTATGTATGTTTTTTCATATTCTGCCTTTTATTTCCTGTTATGAGATAAGCAAAATTACATGTTGATAATGAACTCGTTTGTGTAGATCATTTAATTCTTCTAGAAAATAGTTTTGAAGTATAATGGCGGTTCGTTTGTCGTTAGCATTTGTTTATGTATGTTTCTGAGGTCAGTGTAACAGTAATATTCGTGTGAGATTATCTTCGTGGTGGAAGATTTTCTCAAGAATTAATTTTTGTGGGTGAGAGGAATGGCAAGATGTCTACCAAAGGATAATGCAGAAACATGAGGTACATTGTGTTAAAAAATTAAGTGATGGTTTCTGGTAAACATTGAGAAATACTGAATGGATTCAGGGGTTGATTTGATTAATTACCTGTTTAATGCTGCTTAAGCTAAACTACTTGTTTGGACTTTTTAAGTAAGTATAAAGATTTGTGCAATATGCTGTGCTCTTTTGCGCAGGTTGTTTAGAATGTAAATTGGTGAATTGGTAAATGGACAAACACTCTCGAAGAATTAAAGATCATAATGTGTTTTACCTAAAGAAATGGAGGGATTAATAATTCGGACATGATGTTAATGTCTTTCTAATGATTGTTGGTATGTCTGAGAGAAAAGAAGATATGTCAATACATCTTTCTTTCACCTGCGTAATGTTCTATCTTTTGGGTTTTAATAACTTGTATCTCACTAACACCTAAAAGTTACTAACAGAAGCTAATTGGTAGAACTATGGATGTGGTGACTTCTGTGTCTGAGGATTGAGATACGCTTTTTATGTTAGGACTACATGCATCCTAGCTGTTAAGCAAGAAAAAAATAGTTTTAGATTCTTCCTTTTTGTTGTCTTAAGGGGTTACTCTTTTCATAATGGAACCTCCTGCTTTCATTTAATGTAAAAGACTCCTTTATTAGCTTTATTGACACTTCTTTGCGTTATTGTTTTCGTTTTACCTTTTTCTTGTTTGTTTCTTCACTTTTCTTTGTCCATGGTTATGGTGGTACAGGAATTATTAGGAAGGATCATAAGGGTAGAATTCGCGAAGCGATTTAAGAAACCTGCAGGAGCTCCTCCTCCTTCAACTCCTCCTCGAGGGGAAACACGGCATAAACTTTATGTTTCTAATCTTGCATGGAAAGTGAGGTCTACCCATCTGAGAGACTTCTTCTCGACAAACCACAATCCGGTCTCAGTTAGGGTTGTCTTTGACAATGCTTCAGGAAGAGCTGCTGGGTATGGTTTCGTATCATTTGACACAAAAGAAGAAGCAGAGGCTGCACTATCTGCTTACGATGGAAAGGTATGCATAAAGAAAATATATTCCCTTCATAGCTTGGGTTCTTATTCCAGAATACTCCTTGGATCTTATTGGTTGCCATTCTTTATTGCATTACTCTGCTTTCAACATTATTGGGGAGTATCATTTCAACTAGTTGAATTCTTAAAATAAATTACACAACCTGTTCAAATGTTAATTGAAATTTGTCAGTGACTTCGTTGAAACTGGGACTTACTCTCAGAACCTTGCTGTACGCTTGAGCGCTAAAGAGTTGGTCATAGTGCTAAATCTCATAAGATATGGTTAAAATCTGATTCTATAAATTCATCTGCATGTAGAAAACAATGTAGTCAAAAGTTTGGGTCTTTAAAATTCCGCTCGCTGTTTTAAAATGCATAGGTGCAGAGCGAGATGTTTTTCCTACCATGGATCAGGGCGTTAGCCCCAAGGCACATGGTAATATCGTGCAAGTAAATTGTCAAATACTAAAAAGAAATTTTAAACGAAAATTACTTGGGTTGTATTGTCGAGCAATCAAGGTACAAAGTGTCTGTGGGTGGATAGCTTAATACTGGTTCTCTAAGTAATTTCAAGTAGCGTAGTTTCTTTGGAAACATGTTACTAAATTGTGTGGCATTACTAAAAATATTGGATCATGTAACCAAATATTAAGTTTTACATCATTTAAATTCAAAATATTATTTAAGGGTGATTGATATTAAGGAAAACACATTTTCCAGAAAATATTTTCCAATTCCCATGTTTTGTTAGCTTAAATGTTTTAAAAAACATTTTCCTCGTGAACTCATTTTTCTCCAATTGGAGGAAAATATCTCATCCATCCACCACCCCAACCACCGACCCCGCACCCGCACTCTGAATAGAAATATTATTTAGAGTACTTTTTTCATGTCGTAGATAAAGTACTATTTTTTCATCTCAACAAAATGAGTATTTTCTTTTCATGATGTAGAAAAAGTATTTTCTTTCATTTCAACAAAATAAGTACTTTCTTATCATGATGTAGAAAAAATACTCTCATTTTCAAAATGAGTACTTTCTTTCATGTTGTAGAAAAAGTATTTTATTTCAACAAAATGAGTACTTCCTTTTCATGTTGTGGAAAGAGTACTTTTGTTTTTAGTTATGGAGCTCAAATTTCAATGTTGTTCTTGTGTGAAAAAGTAAAGCAGCACATTAGTTCCTTGGGGTTTCTGTGCATTTTTAAAAGAAATAATTAAATTCTTCATACCAAACATACCCTAAGTTAAAAGGTAGATATTTTCTTAATATGGAATATAGTTTTGTGATTATTTATAGGCAAATGTGATGTCAAATTTGGTAATTCTGATGATGATTTCAAGCACTTACCAAAAAGTGCTTTTGTTTAGGTGTCTCATTTTGTTTAAGCATGATTATTAGGTGACACTTGATGACCTATCAAAAAAAGTTAAGGTGAAACTTAGATGTTTCATTTTGTTCAAGTGAAAGTGGATCCCATTAGTGGCAACAATACAAGTATTAAGGACGAGGAAGCAGTTTCTTTTGGAGTTGTATTAACATAAATTCTCTTTAGATATTTGGTGGAAGAATTGCAAAATTTGAGATTTTTTATTTTTCTTAGGACATGAATGTTTCAAATGCTTCAGTCAGTATCTTGAAAATATTAGAATTGCCCATGGCTATTAATCTTGATTTTCCACTGTTTCCATCTGTGGCTCGTTGGGAATTCCCTTCCATTAGTTAGATGTGAACATAATGGAACATAAGTATGGTAATTGATTCCTTGTAAGAAAGACGTGTATGTGCAGAAGCGTAGCAGACGTTGATATATGTTCACATCTCAATCTAAAAATGCAGGAACTGATGGGCCGACCAATTCGCTTGAAATTCAGTGAAAAGGATGCAGATGGATTTGAAAACAAGGAAGAACCGTCGACTCACGAAAGTCCTGAAGAGCCATAGATCATATGCAAACTCTTTGACTCCATTGATTGCACTTCTATGTGGATCATCGAGGTCCTCTTTAATTCTTCTCCTTATGCACATAATTGATGATTGTCACATGATAACCATAGTTTTTGTAGACTCCAAATCTTCTTTGTTTGACATGTTCGTTTGGTCATACTTTTATTACCTTTTATCTTGTTTCCTAGTTTGTCGATTTCTGACATATCTCTGATGTTTATGCTATCATTGGTCAATCGTCAGAAAAAAAGAAGATTTTAACAACTGTATATGATTTTCACATACAAAATACACCCTTTACAGGAGTTTCACACAGTTTTTTCATATTCTCATCTGCTTAATGAGAGTATCCTCACCAAATATTTATATTAATCATGTCACAAATGAGAGGCCCGCCATCAAATCCTGAAAAGGTAAACTCTGAGCAGAACTGGAAACATTGAGGATAATCTGCGATCATGTTATCTTGGAGGTTCTCCGTGATTAATGATTGTCCCGGTAAGTTAATACGTGTCGGATACAAGAGAGTTGTTTTTGCTGGTCTTGTCAAACTCTCAAGTCTCACCCTCCATTCTGTTGTCTTATGAGTATGTTTATTGCAATTATACAAGGAGATATTCAGCAGCATATGCAATGAGTGTAATGTTTGTCTCACTTATGACTTCTTGAAATAGAAGTTTTGCCCTCCTCTATGGAAAAGTATTAACCCTGTTTACATTGTGTATCCCATGCCTACCCCCCTATAAAGTATCTAAAGGGAAATACTTGCCCAATTAATTTATTTAGAAAAATGGTCTAGGGAGAAAGCAAAGGATAACGCCAATATGTCTTTCTCTTGGTGTATAGACAAGTTGCAAGAAAAGGAAAATATAGGTTCGATTTATCTTCTTGGATGTCCTTGATATTTAGGGAATTACATTTATCATCACATTCTAAAGCATGAATTTCAGTGAAAAGTCAAAGGAATTCTTCAAAGGCATTGGTTTGAGTTTGTTAAATTAGGATCATCTTCTTCTTTTGCAAACTCCACTGGCACTTTGGAAAGGAAAATGAGAAACCAAACGAATATTGGTTATTGACCTGCGACTGAGGAAGCTATTTGGGAGGACCGAAAGTAAAAGATAAGTATTTGTTGATGCAAAAACGTATGTAGAGATTTACATATATACCTAAATGGATTTAAAATATGAAAAAAAAAGAAGTAAAAGAGGAGTAGGAATTTTTTGGGTTTTACATTTTGGAAAAGCTATATAATTGACTATACTTGAATTCTTTCACCCACATGATCCAGGAAAGCTACCTCATTGACTGGTAAAATGTCTGTTTATATTATCTTCACTCCTTTAGTTTTTGTCTCTTAATTTACTCCATTACATGTTCCCTATCTACTCCCAGCATTTAGATCAATATTTTGAAACAGACATAAAACGCCAAAATAACTAACATCAAACTTCTAAAAAGTAGTGTTTGTTTCAAAAACTCGAAGGACAAAAGATTATCAAGAACCAAAGGGAGAATATATACTTTTCTCAAGTGGCTATAGCCAAGATTCCCATTTCCCATATCAATGTCTCAAAGATAACGAGGAATACTTTTGGTCGATTTTATATGTTTGGTCTACTCTAATTGTGCTTACTTTGGGTACTCAATAAGTTAATGAAATAATTAAAAACTAACACATCTTACATAGGATCGTTTAGATCTAATTTAGTGGCTAGTATAACAAGATTTCTTTACTTTCTTGGTGGATCTGCTTAAGGATGAAGATACTTGGAAGGTCAACTAGTTTTCGTAATATAAAAAAACACAGAATTTCATGTAATATAATATTCTATATAATGTTTTGAGTTAATTCAAAGTGGCTTAAGCCATAATTAAAGCATTGATTACTTTGATGAATAATCAATCAACATGACCAATCTTAGTCAACAAGCCACTATATCCAAATAAAACAAGTTAAAGAAGGAATAGAGACAAAAGAAGAACAAAGGAAAAGAGAAACAAAACCAAAGAAGAAAAAAAAAAGGTAAATNCCCTCCCCCTCTTTCACCTTCACCCTTCAATGCAACACTCATATTTTCTTTCTGTTTCATTCTTCCATTGCTCTTCACTTCCTTCTATCTTATCTCAGTATAGTAGGGACACTCCTCACTTAAATTCTTCTCATTTCTCTTCCTTTTCTGTTTTCTGCCCACTTCTCCAATTTAGTTGTTTACTGTCCTTGAAAGTGTGATGGTAAGTATTTTGTGCCAAAACTTCTTTTTCTTGTCTCTGTTTCTTGAGTTTGACAAATGGTGCCTGTAAATAATTCAAGAGCATATATGAGCACAAGGGATTGTTCTCAAGGATTTTGCAGTTCATACTGCCCACAGTGGTGTTATATAATCTTCCCACCTCCACCTCCATTTGATGACTTCCCTGATGATGATGATGATTCTGGTCCAAATTTCTCTCCTCTAATTATCGGCATCATCGGAATTCTTGCCAGTGCTTTCCTTCTAGTTAGCTACTATGTCATAATGTCAAAGTGCTGTGGGCACAGAAATGCTTTTAGAAGAAGGGATGAGGATCATCTTAATGATTCAGAATTGGAAGAGAATCAAGACCCTTCAAATCTTGAGGCATGGCATGTGAATACGACAGGTTTAGACGAATCCCTGATCAAGTCGATTACAGTGTTGAAGTACAAGAAAGGAGGTGGATTAGCAGAGGGAACGGATTGTTCTGTATGTCTGAGTGAATTTCAAGAAGATGAAAGCGTTAAACTTTTACTAAAATGCAGCCATGCTTTTCATGTTACGTGCATTGATACATGGCTTAAATCTCACTCCAATTGCCCTTTATGTCGTGCTACTATAGTGTTTGTAAATGCTTCACCACCTCCTTTAGTTATTGAAGTTATCGAAGCTCCACTGATTAACGAAAGAACCTTCCGAATCCAACCTCAAAACGACATAGAAATGGGGGTCAGAGAGGAGGATGTAGAAGTTGCAGAAAGTAGAGTTCTCAAGAGCCTAATAACAGAAAATATGAATGCACAAATTAGAAGACCAGTATCAATGGATCAAGTGTCGCGAGGTGTTTTATCTATAGCTGATATACTAAAGTTTGATCACGACGAAGATTGTCAAATGGGAGATTGCCGGTTTCATGAGAGAGATGTTGGAACATCAAAACAAGAAGTAGGGGAAGAAGTAAGCAGTAGTGAGAATAGAAACAGCACACTACCACATTGTGTGTCAAATCCCATGGCTATGAAGAGATCTTTTTCCAGTGGGAGATTCATGTTCCCTAAACGTGCAACAGGACAGAACATGATCATTCCTTTGTGAGATTCTTGACAAATTTTATGCCAAGATTATGCATTTATGCCCTTAGATAAAGAGATCATAAAACTCTTGGTGATTTCTTTCCATCTTGGTGGACAGAATTGCTTGATATCCGTACTAGTATGAGGTAGTAGGTACCTGATGAACAGGTGCGGTCAAGCTGACAAACACCTGCCTTTGTTAAAAAAAAAAAAAATTTAAAGGAGTTCATATAAAGAAAAAAGTTTGAAAAGGTTTTTGCTCCATGTAGTTGAGGTTTTAGATGTTGTCAGCTCGTCTTCTATATGTTTCCTTTGAGTTCATTTGTCCACATCAAATTAATGCAAAAACAGGTTCATATATGATGTATCACTTTACTATGATAAGATTTGATTGTTCTTAAATGTTATAGGTTTTTTATATCTTAAATGTTGTAGTGTTCAATACTCTTTTTGTCTCTCATCAAGGTTCCTTGCTCGCCCACACGATCCTCTTTCTTTTCATTTTTAATCTTGTTTTTCGCCGACATACAAACATTTTGAAACAGCTTTTGTTTTGAGCCAATTTTCTTTTTTAATAGAAATATGACACTTTTAGGTGTGGTCGTTAACTTTTGACTCTGCTTGTCTCATGAGCTCTCTTCAAGGTCAAAAGTTAATAGTGTTTCTCATAGGACAAGCAAAAGGTAACACTTGTTAAACTTGAAATTCCGTCCATGGGGCAAGTGCGGATAAAATTTCAAGACCATCCACTTTGAGGGCTATGTGTACTTCACCCATTTTGAACGAATATCTAGTAGTAAGGGTGAATATAGGTCGGGTTGGTTCGGATTTTTTAATTACTAAACTAAACTAATGGTGTCAGATTTTTAAATCTATAAACCAAATCAAACCAACAAACTCGGGTTTTTAGGTCTTTTTCGGGTTTTCAATTTTTTCTCCCAGTAAAGTATTCATAGCATAAAATATGTAATTTGTGCTCCAAATCTTTCTTTAGTTCTAGTAGAATACACCTATATAATGTATTTTTCAAGAAAATACATAATAATATGAGATGAGTCATAACATTGTACTAAAATATTCAATAACAAAGATAATAAAATCGCATAAAATAAATATTGCTAATTAATAAGCCATAAAAAAATGAACGTAATTTAAAAGTACTATATAAGTAATACTAAAAAAAGTACATCTAATAAGTATAATTAATTACATGATTAAGTATTAAAGAAAAAGATAAACTAAGTTATGAATTTTCATTATAAACCAACGCAAAACTAAGAATAGATATCTAGTGTTGAATTGAATTTATTTTGTTAGCATTAGTATTAATTTGAACTAAGGCTGTCCGACCAGACGGGACCAAATAATCAGGACGAGATAGGAGGGCATGACATTTAACCGAGACGGTGGCGGGACGGGCCTAAATGGGACAGGATAAACGGGGCGAAACCGTAGGTCCATCCCATCCAACTAACAAATGAGATGGGACGGGACGAGGCGGTTCGTCGGCCCTAAGTGGGCCTTTTTTCTAAATTTTTAAAACTATTTAACCATTAAATTAGGCAGTGGCTAATTTTTTATAGATAACAACGGTTATTTTTTGTAAAGTTGACAATGACTAGGTTTTTAAAGTTTGCAACGACTAGTTTTTTTTTACTTATTTAATAAACTTAAAACTTAATAAATCATAAAGAAACTAAGTAAAGAATTATAAAATATTAAAACAAAAGACTTGTGACTAAATATTTTAGTAATTATAATAGAGTTGTAATTTATTTAATGTAATTTCAAGCCATAAAATAACTAGGTAAGAGCGTAAGACAATTCATAAACAAAAATTCAAGGCTTAAACTCTTTTATTTTATTAATAAAACTTTCAAATTTCACATACAAATATAATTCTTTTGAAGAGCACACAGCCACCTTCTAGGACAGGTTCTGTTTGAACTAGGCTTCTTAGTAGCCAATTACAAATTATCATACAAATATTGTAAGCTCCTATATAGCTTCATTGTAACTTATCTATAATTTCTCTCAAATATTGTTCTGGAATTGGTGTTTACCGTGAAAATGGTAATAACAATTAATTTTTTAAGGTGACTCTAAAAATACGTGATCTATTTTTATGCCAGTTGTTAGGGTAGTTGATGCTAGATATGTGAAGATAAAAGAGAGAACGCGAACTAGAAAAGAGCTGTGTTCAAACCGAGGGGCTAGCTGTCCGGGCCTCGGGCTAGCCGATGAAGGGCCTCAAGGTCGATGCTTGGGATCGAGGTCGAGCTATCGGGGGTAATCGGGAAGGGTCTAACAGTTAGGATATAATTAAAAGAGTCTCTTTATGGCCAATATTAAACAATAAATGAAGAACAGGTATGAAAGCAACAAATGAAGGAGGTAGTCTCGAGCGAGTCAGTTAGAGAAAAAGAGAGAGAGAGAGTTGTTATTGATCTTATGTAGAGTAGTTGGAGCAACATCAACCCTTTACAAAGTGATGATGATCCCCTTTATATAGGAAGGGAAATCCCGTCATAGTACAAAATACATTAATTGTAAAGGCATAGAGATGAGACGGCTAGACGCGACGCTTTGATACAGGCTTTGGGTAGGCCGACTTTGTTGGACTTAGCCGTGCGCCTTGGGAATTCTCCATTTTACTCTGGCCTCGATCTATGTCCTCTTTAAGTCGGACCTCGACGAGCTTCGAGGGAGGGAACTCGGTCACAACTTCATGTCCTTGGGGGCTTGAGGTGTTCTTCTAAAGTAACTCGATAGCAAGAAATTAGGCCCACTGATTTTGCCGCATACAGATAGTCTCTGCGTTTCTCAAAACGAAGTGATGGGAAACGATTATGATGCCCGACTCCTCGGGCTTCCTGTGACAACATCGTGCCAATGATGCAATCTATGGCATGAATTTTTACGATAAGCAGGACATTCCATGGACTTGTCTTTTCGACGCCATTCAATGCGCTGTCGATTCCCATTTTTCAAAGTGGTAGTATCGTCGTCGATTCAGTTTTTCAAGAATGCAGTAATTGCGTCCGCCGGTCAGTCTTCCAAAGGCCTCGATGACCGTGTCATTATCTTCTATAAATGGGAGCGTTCTGGCATTATTTTTCTATCCAAGTGTCTTCATTTGCTCATTCATCCTTTTCTCCCTGCCATCTTCCTCTATTGTTGATCACCATGTTTGGAGTTCACGGCCTTAAGGTTGTTTGGCTGCATTCCCACTGGTAAGATGATGGCCCTTTGCCTAAGCTCCCTTTTGTCGAGCACGATTATACTGTCTTGGCGCTGTTGTTGTTGTTGTTGTTGTTATGTCTACTGCCGCTGTCCCTATTGGCTCGAGACGATGATATACGGGGGTCGACTTTCCTCGCTTTAGAAAGTTCTTCGGACTATGTACCGCTACTTAAAAGGGGGCTCGGATTATACACCACTGCTCACCTTCATACCCGGCTCTACGTGACGCTTTGCCCCGAGCTGGCAGCTTGCACGACTCAATGTTCCAAGAAGTGGATTCAAAGTAGCTGTGCAAGCGAGGCCGATGTTTGCCAGGTCTGTTGTCTCTCCGATGTTCTCTTGGCCAGTGAGGGTCCTCGACCTTTGGCGGGCTATGGCGTTTTTTCATCCCTCCCTGCTTCTCGACTTATCCTTTGGGGATATCTGTGCGGAAGGCTGGGATAAGGCTTCTGAGGATGCGTGCCCGGAGGCGTTGTTGCAAGAGGTGGACCTTCGAGAGTAGATTAGGCTCTAGGCTTTTACCACGTATGTGCATGCCCTTGCTTCTTTGTTTCTGCGTAAGGAGCCCTTGCAGGCTTTTGTAATTATATGTAAGGATCCCTCGAGGGCCATTGTAAGACAATGTTTACGAAATAGAAAGACATCTTCTTTATTTCTGTTTTTGATATTTGCCATATTCTTGTGTATTTGCAGGGATTTTCAATGTATGCCCTTGTTGACGATTGTCGATATTCTTTCCAGTCTTTGGTCGACAGAAATGGCTCCTTTCCGAGCCTACCGTGGTTCCTCGGACCAAGCCTGAAGCGATCCGATAGACTCGGGTCGCCGGGACCCTCGAACCGCATGAAGATGGCGTATCGAACCTTGAAATCTTTGAGGGTGGTCTCTGAGTGAAGGGTAGCTTCGGGCACCTGGAGATTTACTTTGAACTTCATGTAAATAATCTTTTAAGGCGTTGTAGATGGGTTCCTGTGGAGAGGTTTCCCATGGCCGGGTGACATCCTGAGGTTGAACCCCCATGGACGGAGCTTGAAGTGCTTACTTTTATTCTTGGGAGGAGCCTTCGAGGTCGGATACCTTCTCGGGATTGGAGATGATATCGCTGACTTTTTGAAGCCTAGCTTTCTTTTGATGGAGGTCCTTGGGGTCGGGTACCTCCTCGGGACTGGAGATGATGTCGCTAAAATTTTGAAGCCTAGCTTTCTTTTGATGGAGGTCATTGGGGTCGGGTACCTCCTCGGGACCGGAGATAATATTGTTGGCCTTTAGGAGCCTAACTTGGGCAGACGAACCGTTGTTGTTTCCCCATGTCTATACAAGGGGTTGCTTCCACTTCTTGGGAGATACCATTATTTTAGATAGCTATCCTCCTATTTTGGAATCAAGCCCTTCGTTACCTTAGCGCCAAAGCGTTCGTGTAGGTTCATGCTTTGGTTTGCTAGCTCCACCATAGCCATGACCGCTACTTCAGGGTCTGCCCGACAGAGAGGGGATAGTTCCACTCTTAGTGCTCAGGATCCACGGGAGTTTATTTTGAAGACTATGTCTTTGGTAAGAGAGGAGCATCTAGAGATAGTGAGGAGAGACTGCGGATGGGGCGAGAGGGTAGCGTTGCAGGTGATTTCCCCGGATGAGGGTATCACGAACCTCGCCGATGGATTCCTGAACATTGTACCCTTTCGCACTAGGCCCCCTTAATAGGGTCGTGCTTGATTCTTATTTAAAGTACGGGGTTACTTTGGCGCAGATACATCCATCATTTTGGCGAATAGTGTTGATGATGAGGTTCTTTGCGGAGAAAGAAGGGCTTGAATTCACGCTCAGTCACCTCGTCAGGCTGTACCGACCCTTTCATCATCGAGGTCTGCTAACCTTTTGGTGTCGTTTGTCTATGCCCTTTGTTATTGATGATGAGGAAGATGGATATCGTGAGTGGATTAGGCGATTCGTTCGGGTTCGGACGACTGACCTTATCCCTGTAGAACTTATGCCATTCCCCGAGAAATGGAATTACACACGTGAGTGGAGCGTCTCGTGCTTTCTCAGATTCGTCCATGGTGAAAGCTAGTTTAGTAATCGCGTTTCCTTTTTTTTTTGCAGCAATTTCATTGGCGC